TATATATATATATATATCCAGTCACAGCCAAATATATGTTAAATCTACTTGATGCCTTGATTTTTCACTGCATAATAGGTAAGTGTATATAAAATCTTGTATAGATAATGTCTTCTTTTCAATAGATCCATTAAAAAGCTTGCAAGAAAAGTTTAAATTAAAGTATTTGTAGTCATACATAACTATTTTTGTACAACAAGTTAGGTTTTACGGTTGGACAGCGGTAAGTCTTCGGACTTACAATGCTAAAATCAGGGGTTTGATTTCTCTTGGTAGACACAGCAGATAGCCCAATGTGGCTTTGTTATAAGAAAACACACACCCACACAACAAGTTAGTGTAAAAATTTCCTTGTCAATTAAAGGTTTGAATTTCATTTTTTTTTTTTCTAGTTTTGGAAGGCAACATTTTCATTAGAGTTTTTTAAAGCTCTCAAACATTATTTATCTTGTATTTGAAATAATTATATTTGACTTGGACATTTCTTTAAAGCTCAACTTGAGAAAAAAAGTGACCAAATTATTCTTTTGGTTTATGAAGAAGAAAGTTTCTTCTCTTTGTGTTTATGTTATATGAAACACTTAAATAATGAATTTGTCATAGAGTATATTGTGTGTACGACCGGTATCACTTTTTAAAGATTCATTATTTTCTTTTTTATTCCAGTCCTCATCAAAACATTTTTCTATCTTTTTTTATTTACTCCAAGTAATTTTATTTAGATGTGAAAGAGTGAATGTTTTATTTTGATGGTGATATGTTCAATAAATAGGTTAAATTTTATTAGGTTTTATTATTGTATTGTCATGCCAGCATTGTTGATAGAGAGAACAATTGTAGTACAGTAAAGCCTGAAATACGTTCTTGAGAAAATAAAATTAAAAGTTGGTTCCTGGAGTTGTATGTTTTTACTTCTTTAAGTTCTTTACTTCTTTTTAGTAAAGAATATTATGCCTGTTTTCTGTGTACTGTTTTACAAAAATAATCTTACAATTTCTCATTGTTTTCTTTACTCCAGAATGCAACATGTTCATATCATAGTGAATAAGGTAATCTAAAGTTTGCAAGTTATATTTATTATTATTTGTAGATTACTATTATTTCAAATACTTGTAAAAACAATGTTTTATTTTTTATAGACTTAGATGGAGCCTTATGCCAACTCTTACAACACCAAATTCCACAAGGTATGAAATCCTCTTGCAAATGACTCATGTTACTGACCACATTTTGTATTAAATTATTCAATTTACATGTTTTACAGTATCAAGGAATTCTTAGTTAATAATTCATTAAAAAATCACAAGTGTTTCATCATGGGTTCAATGTAAATGTTTGCAGCTTAGGCTAATATAACATTCTTTATTATACACATTTTAGTTTTTCAGTAACAGTAAACGATTATAACAAAGATATTATTCAAAGTTAGTATTCTTCAAAAAACTTTTTATCAGAAGACAGCACTTAATGAAATTTTTCATTGATTAATAATAACTTCTAACATATATATGATTCAGATATAGACAGCTTTTTATCAGATATATACATTTATAAATATATGCGACTTAATCTTTTAAAAGTTTAGTAAAATGTTGAGATCAGTTGAATTAATCCATCTTGGAATTCCTTCACTTAAAAGTACATTTCATAAATGATCATAACTGTTTTTACAAATGAAATATAAAATATAGCTATTTATTGAAGAATCATAAACTTTGACCCCCAAATAGTTAAAATTTCTGAATGAGTAAGGTGGATCCTTGAAATATTTATATATACACTATCAAAACATGTCTGTCCTTTTTCTTAAAGTTAAGTGAAATGTACGATTTGTGGAATATGATTTACGTGAAAAAAAAAAATCTAAATGAAATGCTAAAATGTAAAAATGATATTTAATTCCTTGAAAAGAGTTTTCTTGTAACATATGTATTCTGTGTTAACTTGCAGTATGAAATATAAACTAGCATGAACATTTTTCTCAGATTAATTTCTCATCACTTTATTCTATGTGAAATAAGGTTAATAAAATGTATGTATATATAAAAATGTATTATGTGTTAAAATTGAGTTGCAACTGTTGTAAGGGGTTGATAATAGCATGCAAAGCAATGAGGAGAATCTAGATGTAACAAATCGTGCAGCAACAGAAAACAATTTATACAAGCCAAATTACTTTTTTAAGATTAACTTAAATACTATTAGTACTATGTCTCAAAACTGTTTCAATAGATGGTTCTATTAATTAAGGTTATTCCATTTCATAATAACCTAAAATTACACTATATCACCAAAATTGATAGTATCTATTTAGCACTGGTAAATACACCACCTTTTAACATCAAAACACTAATATGGTTTAAGGTAAAGAATAAATAAGTAACTTTTGCGAAATTGAAATTCCAGATGATTATAATGTTCATGGCATTGGTAATAATATTGACTGGTTACATCAAGTATACCAGTATAGGTAGTTTAGTTTTTTATAACATCAATCACTTATTTTGCAAGAAACTGGCACCTGTCTGCCCAGCTTGCATTTATATGGGTCCAGGGTGAGTGACTAGATTATAACTACCAGACTTAACACTGGCTACAAATAATGGATGCTTAGTTGGAGTATGAATATTGGGGCAAAAGCACCTGGCCCCCATTCCTTAACTGATTTGCAGTTGTTGTTTCACCAGTTTTTCATCTGTAGATGGTTGGAGTTCTGGACTCACTACCACAGTTGTTCTCCTCCAAAATTGTACCTTCTTTAGTTTCTACATCTGGCATAAGTTTGGTTTGTCTACTTTGTTTCTTGTTGATAAGTATTTATTATATATATATATATATATTGAATCTTGAACAGAATTGCTTTTACCATTATCAATAACAGAGACCTTTTTTTTTCTTTTCAGTGCTCGAGGAGAAAACCAAGACAGTTTAATAAGGTTGCTTCTAGGTATTGACCTTTTACAGGTTAGCATTTCTTTAGTTTTATTTTTTTTATAACAGCAAACAGGGAAAACAATTGAGTCTGTGTTAATAATGCATATTTGACACATGATTTATTTGTAAAAGCTGTTTTGTGTTTGTCTACATGTGTTGCATAGAAATTTATAAATATGAAGGTATACTTGTACTCTATATAAATGTAGCTTGGGATTTATAATTTCTCATTAGTTTACTGCAAGAGTACCATAGCTTATTTAAGAAAGTTTTTATAGTCCTAAAAAAGTTTATGGTACTGAAGAAACTTCTTGTCATAAAATGTTAAGTATAAATCTCTGAATATTTTCTGTTTAGTTTACATGCATGTTGTTGAATTATCATAAAATGATGTTTTGATTGAAGTGTCATCATTAGAATAATAGGCCATTATTAAAAATATATTGTTACATCTCTAGTCTGTTTGTTAATTTTTTTTAATTCCTTCTGAAGTGAACTTCAGCGATACAAGTCCTCTCTTAACTAAAACTAGCTTATTCTTTCTCAATTCAACTTTGCAATACACTTAATTTCCACAGTCACTTTAAACACACGCTATAATTCACAATGATTCACGCACTTACTTACGGTCACTATCACTATCCATCTCCATCTCTGCCATTCCATTTTTGCCGTCACTTTTTACCGGTCTTATATATACAAAAAGCGTACATCTGGAGAACACTCGAGGCTTCACGAATGGACATGAATTTTCTAGAAGCTCATGACGTGTTACTAGCGTCACATGACTTCCGCTGTCGTAACAGTATTATGCCTCGAACCTTGTATATACGTATTGGATAGTGAATTCAAACCAAAGAATGAATT